CTCAAGGAGAAGGAAGTACAGTCGGGGTCAAAATTTTTAGGCGCCTATACCGAACAAAGAAGCGACTAAAATGGAGTGGCTCGCCTTTCTGCAGCTTGTGAGCGAGCCGGGGGACGATCGTTTGGTGGGACTCGATAGGAAGTGTTTAGTGTTTTTTCGGATGCAGCGGGTCTGGGCCGGGAGAGTAGTCATTACCAGGGGCGCGGGAACTACTTTCCGACTGGGGGGGCACACCATAATAGAGATCAACCTAGGGTACCCCCAAATCTAGTTTTCTCACCGGTTTTAGGCCACTTGTTTTTCATCCCTCGGCTTTTTCAACAAAAAAGAAAACATTTGCAAAAAAGTGTGGTATCCCGTCTCAAAGCTGTGGGGGCACCGCCCCCACGGCCCCAGAGTTGGGGGGCAAGCTGCCCCCACTGCCCCCCCGGCTCCCGCGCCTATGCAGATAGTAAACGGAACATTTGGTCCATTTTCACATTTTCAACCCGCGCCCGGCTGGGGGTCCTGGATTTCCACGCCCTGCTGGGGGGGGGGGTGTTTGAACACCCCCCCCCTTGTAACTCGGCTCCTGGGCCACGTAGCGATACGCGGAAGGCGGCGTTCGAAAGAGCGTCAAAAATAATGACGAAATCACTTCGGTCAATTTTTTGGTCAGGTCAGAGGTCAGGTCACCAGAGGTCATTGAAGGCAAAATTTCGCCGATTTCCAGGTCAAATGTCGAAAAGTTCCAAGAAGCCAACGCATAACTCGGGAACCAATAGAGCTACAGCGCCGCGGAAAAGCGCATTCGATAGCCCTATTAACGCCCTTTCTGAGTAATTCTCTCAGATTTGACCTAACGTCAACGGTTTTGCCTGCAGGGGGCAAAAACTGCAAAAATAGACGATTTTTTCGGAAACAGTTTTTCTGCAATAACTTTTGACCCAAGCCTTGTACGAGCTTACTTTTACCGGCATCGTGTTCCTCTCGTCAAGACGCATCGAATGAACTATAACTTGACCTTGAAAGGTCAACTTGAAAATTTGACCTCAGGTCAAGGTCATGACCTGACCGGAAAGGGTCATGTTGCATATCAGTCGATCCGTATCGTCGAGCTGAACACATATAAGGCGTTTTCATCGCTCTAGCATGCCTCTATCAAAAGTTATTTGCGAAAAACTGTAAGATACCATTCGTGACCTATGATGACCTCAGGGCATAAACAAGGGTCACGGACACTATTTTCATGTTCAGTGTGTCTAAACCACTTGTAATTCGGTGTTTAGGAGTGTTTATAATGCCTTTCGTCCAAAAGAGACGCATTTCAATTTTCTCCCATTGACTTATAATGGGGAGGTCGCAAAATTGACCTGACCTTAGGTCATCGATATCAAAATACTGAGATATACATTTTGTACATGTTATTGCTCTTAGCAATCGCTGAAAGTTTCAAAGCGATCGGTCACTCGGTGTAGCTATGACAGACATTGAAACTTTTTATGAGGTGAGGTCACTTCAAGTGACCTGGTGACCTGACCTTGAATGACCTTGGTCTGAAATTTTCACAACATGTGTCGAATTGATGTATGATAAAGTGTACCAAAAACGCGCGGGTTAACATATTTGGGCTAAAGATGTACCTACCTAGATTTTTTTTTTTTTTTTTGAGAATTCCAGTGAGATCATCCAATAATTGAGATTGTGACATGGGATTCCTTGCAATCACTAATCAGAGAACCTGTGGTTTTCCCAATGACCCAAATTCAACGTTTAGATGCGCGTGCACATCTGACATTAAGTATCAATTAACCCGCGCCCCGTAGGGCTATCGACAGACCCTACCACCCGTAAAGGGGGGGGGGGGGGCCATTTCGACCCCCCTCCTCTAGGATCTCGAAAATTTACCGCCTGATTTTCAAAATTCAAACGGCGTTCGATAGCCCCAACGGGGAACTACCTTGTGACCCAATTTCATTGACCTCGGTCCAACCGATGACGTCACAGTTCAGGTCAAAGGTCGCAATTTCACCGTTTACGGGCATTTCAAGAAATGTGTTGTGAAATCGAGTAAATTGGTATGTTATTGTAAATCATCGGTGGATAATTGTTCGTCAAACACATATTTTGCTATCTTAGGTCACTGATACCAGGTCAGGTCACAGAGGTCAGGTCACTGAGGGTCACAATATGAAAAATGAAAATGTCGTGTGATACTTGTTTTATGGTCCATTTTACATGACAAATGCGATTATGTGGGTAAGACAACCTTTGGGGTCAGTTTAGGTTATGTTCTGGTGAAGGTCAGGTCAAGGTCAGGTCAAATAAGGTCAAATTTCAAAGTTGATATTTTTGCATAAAATTGGTATCGATCCGAAGCAGCTCGTCACGGGGAGTCTACTGGTGGTCTTTGTTTTGCGCTACGTGGTCTAGAATGGCTAAAAGTTGAGTTTGAAAATTTGACGTCATCATTTTTCAACAGTTTTCTCGATATAACCTGGCCACAAAGAGGCAACGATCTGAAATTTGGTATGTGGATAGAAGACGGTAGGTTCTATTATATATATTTCGTTTTTTCGAAATTCGAAAAACTTTTGGGATTTTTTGGCTATTATATCCAAAAATTACTTTTTATTTTGGGGGTCAAAATTTAAAAATTTCAAAAATCGGAGATAGCAGTTTTATAGCCCTGTTAATTCTTCACCTTTTATGTCAGGAACATTTTCTGTGTTTTGAAAGCTGTAGGCCTGACAGATCTTCTCGCGAAACCTTTTTTGTGGAAAATGACAGAACATGACATCATTCTGACGCCATTTGTGGCCAACCCATCATAGCCTCTGGAAAAATTTTTGGTCACAATGTGTAAAATAGATGTCCGGAGGGGTCCTGAAAGTTTGGTGGCGATATCTGCAGCCGTTTAGGAGATATCTACGGAAAAGGACGGGGAGGGGGGCGTTTCGTTCCTCCCTACGGGGCGCGGGTTAATCATCCAACCCAGATCCGACAATGCATAGGTACCTACTCCGGATGCAACTATTGTACTTAACTTACCTTTCAATTTTGACGATCGCGCCGGTTCTCACCGAAACTATAACTCAAACTTCTGACAAGTTGGGCAGCTCACTCCAACCGCTTTCATCTTGTGCTTTGCTTAAATATTTAATTATTATGCAGTCATGTGCACTGATCAATGTTCTGTTTACCATGAGTCCGGGCAAAAAAGGGCAACCATGAATCAGATATAAACTACAACCCAACCAACCAATAGCAGACAACACCAATTGATGCACTGCCCAAGGCCCTATATACCAGGTAGGGTCGTCCGGCGATTCTACCTTTTCGTGACGTCAGCTCGTGACGTCATTTGGAGTCAAGTCTCGAAGCCCCGTTCAATCCCCATGTAAATGAGCGATTTTCGAAGCACTGTAGAATGAAGTCTGCACAAGATATATCAAACTTAAGTATCTTATCTAAAAGAGCAGACAATTTTCTGCAAGTTATCTATGACGTGTTTTTCGCTAAATCTTTTGCTTTTTTCACAAAAACGTAAAATGTCCCCCCATGTCTCCGCAGCCTCCCTGCCGCCGGCCGCCGCGCGGTCGCGGTAGTGTAGTGGTTAGCGTGCCCGCGCAGTATTCCAAAGGTCCCGAGTTCGAATCTATGCGGTGCGGAACTTTAATTGCAATTCCAAGCTGAATATACGCACATCCATAATAAATTATTATTCGTATAGCTAAACTGTCACCAAGCTATCCATATAAATTGACTTCACCCAAAATATCGGCAAGATTCTATTAAAATATAAATTCAAATATGGCGGCTTGGACTGCCGCGTGCGTTAGGCTCCGCCCATAGCTCCGCCCACATGCGTGACGTCATTCGTGTTAGTGGACACGCAGAGAGATAGGGGACGACATGGGCCTGGCACTGCCGCGTCCCGCGACCACATGGTTCGATCTGGCTCAGTCTATGATTGATCAGCTGACGCCACAGCAGAAGAAACATGGCGATGTCAGCTTCGATGGACGGACCAAAATATCGTAAAATCTTATTTATATGCAACGAAATAGCCTATAACTGATACCCAAGGTAAATAAAGCAAATTTGTGGCAAAAACTAAGTTCTGGGGGTGCTAAGTGCAATAGTTTTAAGGAGAATATAAGAGAAGTGACCACGAAATAAACAATTTTTATTCTCCGGTTGAGAAACAGGAAATTCAATATAATTTTGAACCAAGCCATGAAAGTTGCATTATTGAGCTATAAAAGTAAGCAGCATGAACTTATCTTCTTGTAGAATGCAAAAAAGTGGGAGGAAACCGTTTTGGTATCAGAAATTTTTCTGGTCCCCCAAGACCTATTTTGCGGAGAATCCTAATAATGATGTAGCCGTGTTTGGAACAAATTTGTGCGCTATTGGGATAATATCTTCTTGTGCTCTTTTAATAGAACTATGAAGGAGGTTCAGGGGAAGGTATTGATGCCCTTTATATTTATTACTTTAATTTCTAAAGCCCTTTTCTAGACGCCTCCGTGGCACCGAACAACGGCAAAATTTAAGGTTTTTGAAATAAACCGTACAGAAAAACCGAGGTTACAGAGTTCCCCATAGATGCCGTCACCGGTTTGATAGAATAGAAATAGAATCATAGGGTTAGAGCTGACAGTTTTACCGCTTTGTGATGCATGCATTTTGTGGGACCGTAATATTAGGCTTTATCACAGCCTTATTTTGTCTTTTTTGTTGTTGCTGACAATGAAACAATTTATACTTACTCGTGACTTGTTGACTAGAAGTAGCTCATAATTCTGGAGAGAAAACCTGCAGAGTTTGCCTGGCGGCAGCCGCTGAATGGGGAGGAGCAAGGGAGGAGGGGCCGGAACGGATTCCAGCCAAGCAGCACAGCGGCACAGCTCAGCACAGCTGCCCGTAGGTATGCAAGGACCGTGTGAGCCGGAGCGGAGTTTCGGAGACTGACGGTATCAGGACGGTTCGGTTGCGGTTGGTGTGTGTTTGTGGGGGGGGGGGGGGGAGCAAATTCAGTCTCGACTCGTTCGTATAGCATACATTTCTGCTGCTTGTGAGAGCGTCTATCCGGCACTTGCAGGGGGCGGGGTCAAAATAGCTCCTCAGTTTTTCATTAATAACCATCGTGAGGGCGGCAGACCTCGCTGAAAATTGTCACACTATCGTATTGATCAATTGTACATGTTCACTTAAATTTTCATAACCCTGACCCAAAATGACCTTTGTCCTGTGGCCTATTCTTCTCGCCCTTCTCGCAAACATGTCGAGAAAGACGATTTAACGAACATAAGCGCATCTTGCATTTCGTTTCCGGACTTGTTCGTGATAAGAAACGTGCCAACGTGTGAAATGCTGCCCGTTCCATGCATTATGGTGGGTGTCATGTCAAGATGACGTGACGGCCAGTAACCTGCATGCTAGTAGGCGGACACCGATTCACAGCTATGTTCACACCCTGTTCACTTCATTTCGGTCTACTTCGTTCACTCTTACAGAAAATAACTGAGACCAAAATTTGTCACTGCTGGTGATAGGCGATAGCATAAAAAGTGCACATTTATTAGGCACGAAGAGCATACACAACACAATATGAAGCATTGATGATGCATTCACGTCACAATTCGTGTGATGCATGGCATGTGTAAAAAATGCTGGTTTTGACATTTACAATCATAGTTTGTTCGATTTTAGGTACGTATCATAAGAATTTTGGGCGAGGCACCCACGAGGCACGCAAGTTGGATGTGCGGTGAGTCATTCAATGTAACGAATGTCTTAGTTCTGTGCACGATTTGACCAGCTAGAACACAAATTGTACATTTGAATGTGCTACAATGGATAATATGGATTGACATGAGGAGATTCACGAACAGGATCAAAGCGTCTTCGAATAGTCCACAAAGTCCGTTGGGCGCAGTGCGTAGACCGTTAAGGAGCAGGAACAGCCGGGAAGAGCAGGCCAGGGACCGGTTCCACGTAGGACTGGTCTGGGAGACTTCATTTATGGAGGATCCTGTGGGAAGACCAGTCAGTTGGTTACCATACAGCACAACAAAGGATAACTTTTAGGGATCCACCTTATCCCAAATTTGCGGATTGTGCATGAATCTCGCGGGCCCAATGACTTGATAAATCAATGAGTTATTAATTGAACAAAGCATAAAAACTCCAGAATCGGTTAACGTTCCTTAATTTGCTAGTTCGTTGATGTCTGGGCGACTTTGCGCCAGTCGCTGTTCTTTTGCTAGTCACATTTTGACACAGAGGTGCCGGAGTATAAAATTGGTAAGGAGAATAAAATCTTTTGGACCCGCCCGGGACCAGAAAAGGGGCTCATTTCCAACACTGCCCGTGCCCGGACACATACACGTCGCACGAGCGAGGCGTATTTCACGACCGACTAGGGTAATTTGCCGCTTGGGCGTAGGAGCATTTGGAACCCGGTGGGTGCAGATTTTAGGCCATAGCCGGTGGAGCGGGGGGTGGGGAGGGTAGGGACTAGGGAGAGCGGCACCGGGCATTGGTTCTCTATTTTGTTATTGATTGCAACCGGTCTTAGAAAACGGCTTCAGGCGAGCTTCGAGCTTCGTGGGTGCACGATGTGGAAAAGGTACCGAAAAGTGCATGTTTGGTTAGGTATTGATGTCAAATAATTCACGTAACGGTGAATTGCAATACTATCGCTAAATGCGGAAGCGGCTAGCTTGGCCATTTTTGAAGATATCGGACTAAGCTTTCTGGAGTGGGTCATCGGTATGTGCTCTCTCACATGTGTTTCACCTCTTTTTTCTCCCTTTAGACCGTGTGGGAATATCTGCAGCACACTCCATATTTGTAATATTCTGAGCTCCTAGTTCCCCAGCCGACCGCCAAAACGTGCGATATAAGTTTTGAAGAGCAATAGAGTAGCAAGTGCTTCAAAAGGTGGGTAGAGGGTGTGTTATTCTGAATTCGTCCTGTTGCATGGGACAAGTGTTGGTGAGAAAAAGGGCCTTCGTTCCAGAGTATTGTGGGTGCAGAATACATTACCTACACTCACTGGAGAACTATTGTGGGTGCAACTGCACCCACTGCACCCATGGTTCCTACGCTTGTTTTGCGGAGCACGTCGACCTAAGGAGAAACACCATGCCTTTATGATATGCGGCATGCGCACCAAACATATTGCTTATACCTAGAGGGGAGAGAGTGAGAAGGAATGAAGAAACCCGCCGGATCAAACAGGCCTAAATTGCTACGAATGTTCCTTTACCGCTAAATGTCGCAAGAACAACAGAGAAGAACGGCAAACAAAGCCTATCGGCATGTCTTTCGGATCGTCCTTGAATTCGATGTCATAATTCAACGGCTGACCAACGAACTAATTTTACACATTCCATTTCCCGCGAAAAATTCTAGGTCTGGCCGGGCGAGAAGTCGTTCCATTCCAACTGTCATTTAAGTTCATATTATGCGCTGTACACATCTCTTGTATGGTTTTACGCGCTTCGTTGGTCTCGGCATTTCGTTCAATGTGTGCTGAATAGCGACTTGGCTAGTGACCGAACCGAAGAGAAACAGTTCAGTATGGGTAGCGGTAGAAGGTGTTATTGACGCACGTGAACACGATTGCGAATATGCCAATTGCCAAAACAATTATTTTCTTTTTTGCGAATACGTTTTGAATAAAATACAAGTGTAGTTAATTTTTCTTTCCACCAAAACGTTAAATGTAAAATTAATCAAGTAAAACTATGAGAAATAAATAGTTATATTGGCTAAAACAAGCGGTTAGAGTAATACCATGTGCTTATAAGATTCCTGTTGCGAAAAAGTAAAAGCAATGTATTCATCTTCCTCGCTAGGCACCAGCACCAAGCCATCGTGGGCATTTGACGTCGCAGATGGCTCCCCTAGAAGTAAAACTACGTTGCAGCATTACCGGATACCATACCCAAGTTCTCCGGACGACGAAGCTAATGAAGGACAACAGTTTGTATGCGCCCGTGCGTTCCTGGTTCTCGTAAACATTCTATTTTTCGTTATCGGTTTCGCAGCTGTGGTAACGTCTATTGCCGTTACCGCTAAGCCTGAGAGGTGTGAGGTTTGTCATAGTGTTCTGAACATCCTTCTCACCTTCGGCATAGTGAGCACTTTCATATCCGCATTGGGTATCTATGGAGCATTATCGAACTCCTACAAAATATTGCTCGCATACGTAACGTTCGTCGCATTCGTATTCATGGTGCAAATGGTGTTGTTCTTTTGGCCGTTGTTTGGCCGCTTCAACTTCCAGCGGCGAATGCACACGATCTATCGCGAGAAGATGCGTCAGCACCCTCACCAGCTAACTGAGCTGCTGAACCTGCTGCAGCGGAAGCTGCCGTGCTGCGGTGTGGACGGGCCGCGCGACTACCACTCAGCGGGCCTGCAGCTGCCGCTGTCCTGCTGCGCCTCCACCGGTCCCGGCGGCGAGTGCGCCGTCCGAGTGCACTCCACCACGCCCCCGCCCGCGCTCAACACCACTGAGCCAATCGGCAACACCACCTCCAGCGTCAGCGCCGCAACCAGCCCCTCCACCGCGCCGCCCGCGGAGGCGCCGGTCCGCGGGGAGCTCACAGACGAGGAGGCCGCCGCGCACCAGGAGGAAATTGCACCACCCGAGGAGGAGGAAGATTCGTCCGATGTGGACGACAAGCCGTCTGATGTGGATGATGAGTCATCCGATGTGGACGATGTGTCACCTGATGTGGACGATATGTCGTCTGATGTGGACGATGTGATACCCGACGTGGACGATATATCATCTGACGTGGACGATGCACAGGAGGATGAGTTCGAAGTATCCACAGAGCCCGAAATATCGTCCACGGTAGACGATGCATCAACTGAAGATCAGAAAATACCGAACGATGCTCTTAACGTGGAGATGGAGGATATGAGCGAAGTCGCCAAGGATACAGCTGAAAAACCTGCTGTGACAGCACAAGAGCCACCGCCCAAAACAGAAGGCATTATATCTGATGAGAAAATACAGTCTAACGCAGTGAAGCCGCTAGCCGAAGCCGACAATCTGTCTGATGAAGCAGGATACATCTCGCACGAGATCGAGCCTGAAGAAGCGGATACTGAACTCTCGGAACTAGACGCGGCCGATCCCTCAACTAACATCCGGAGTAAAAGGAGCGCCAACGACGCGGGCGGCATTAGTCTAGAGCCGAGCACAGTGACCGTGGAGCCCAACAGCGTGACACCCGGCAACGCCTCCATGGTGGTGTTCAACTCCACCGGCATGCTCACGGCCAACATCTCCATGAACGCCACTGACGAGGCCACGCTGGAGGAGCTGCTCAGCAACCGGACCGAGCTGGACGGCGGGCCGGAGCCCTGGGACATCCACCACGTCAAAATGTGAGCAATCGTACTCAAACGTACAAACGTAGAGACGCAGTGACCTTAGTAAAAGCCATTTTTCGCTAAGGTCGGCTCTTTTCAGGTCAAATCTTTTCGAATTCGATCAATTCAAATCGGCGCATGGGTAGCTGGTGAATCAAAATTCATCCTTGCGCCGCCAGTCTCACTGCTCGGATATAAGCCAGGGACGGGCGGGACATCCGCATCCCAATTATCAGTTTGGTTAAAAACTTAAAAGCTCAGCCGCGCTGATCAATGGCCTGCACCGTGCCCGCCAGTTTCTCAATAATGGCTGAGGGGCGGATGGAGGGGGGGGGAGAGGAAAGGAGAGGGGGGCGGAAGCTACCCCTAATACCCAGTTTTTTTTTTTCGTGATAGCTCATAACACGCCGGCGATAGAGCTGAAACTTGGGATACCTGACTTTTGACTGAAGCCGGATCTTTGACACCAACCGCGATATTTAATTTCAAAGTTACAGCACTTTGGATTTAGAGGGGCCCTCTGAATTTGCGACGTCAGCGCAGATCTAGCGATTTTCAAATCGCTAGATCTGTGATTTATTTAAACTCTGTGATAAATCTATACTCCCCATTAGGGTGACACCTATTTTATGATTTAAAAAAAAAGCAAAAAGGCAGTTCATTTTATGGTTCAATATTGCATAAAAACATCACATGCAAAATTTCATCCGGATCGGATTATATTTAACCGTGCCTCCTCGAACTTGAATGTGTGCGCTTTTAGCCATTGGGCCGGCAGTGTAGACCTTTCTGGTTTGTAAACCATAAGCAAAGTTTCTCAGCTATTTGTAACGATGCAACCATCAAACAAAGGACTGTGGCACACGAAAACTAGTGATGTATTGTTAAACGATAAAAACTGAGATTCCCCTCAATGTGTCTTGTGGCAGTTGACAAACTTGGACATCCTAACCACTGTAAGCATCCGCGTCGAATGCTATCGCGCATTACTGCAGATGCCGGGTGACTGTGCCTTTGCTAGCGTTTGGAAACCTTCCACGGTTTGCCTCCACCATCTGCAGGATGTACTGCCTCTGGTCCTCATCCTTGGTGAGGGTCAAATTGTACGCTTCCATCAGAGCGACGCCACGCTCGGCGAAGTTGTTCACCACCGTGATGCCGTTGGCCTTCCCCGCTGCGGCGACATAGCGGGAGTCGTCATGCCACTCGGCAGGGTCGGTCTCGAGGAAGCCGTCGTCAATTCCAAGAGTGACGAAGAACGTCCGCGACGATGTGTTCACTGGTCACGAAGTCTGCAAAGGTCTTCTTCGTCAGGTCTGCGCTGAGATGAACGACGGCCCGCTTGGTCTTCCGAGCCCTCGTTCGAGGCGAGGGCCTCAAGTCTCAACCATGGCCCGCCTTCCATGCAGTGGTAGGCTCTCGTCAAAGAACACCAACGGGACTAGGCTCTCACTCAGATACCACATGTGACGTCGGGCGAAGCCGCTGAGGAGCGTCTTGGCGAGGGACTTGTCCTCGTACCCGGCCAACGTCTTCAGAAGGGAGAGGTCGTTCTTAGGGGGGTTTCGTCAGAAGGGAGAGGTTGTTCTTGGTCGTTTATTCGTCAAGTTTGCCGTGTCGGTCTACATTCCCGCGTGATACACCGCGCCGAGCCCAACATCGGCCCCTAAGAACGACCTCTCCCTTCTGAAGACGTTGGCCGTGTACGAGGACAATTCCCTCGCCAAGACGCTCCTCAGTGGCTTCGCCCGACGTCACATGTGGTATCTGAGTGAGAGCCTCGTCCCGTTGGCGGTCTTTGACGAGAGCCTACAAACTGCATGGAAAGCGGGCCATGGTTGAGGCCCTCGCCTCGAACGAAGGCTCGGAGGACCAAGCGGGCCGTCGTTGATCTCAGCGCAGACCTGACGAAGAAGACCCTCGCAGACTTCGTGACCAGTGACCACATCGCCGCGGAAGTTCTTCGTCACTCTTGGAATTGACGACGGCTTCCTCGAGACCGACCCTGCCGAGTGGCATGACGACCCCCGCTATGTCGCCGCAGCGGGGAAGGCCAACGGCATCACGGTGGTGAACAACTTCGCCGAGCGTGGCGTCGCTCTGATGGAAGCGTACAATTTGACCCTCACCAAGGATGAGGACCAGAGGCAGTACATCCTGCAGGTGGTGGAGGCACACCGTGGAAGGTTTCCAAACGCTAGCAAAGGCACAGTCACCCGGCATCTGCAGTAATGCGCGATAGCATTCGACGCAGATGCTTAGAGTTGTCAGGATGTCCAAGTTTGCCAACTGCCACAAGACGCATTGAGTTTTATCTCAGTTTTTTTATCGTTTTACAATGCATCACTAGTTTTCGTGTACCACAGTCTTTTGTTTTATGATTGCATCGTCATAAATAGCTGAGAAACTTTGCTTATGGTTTACATACCAGAAAGGTCAACACTGTCGGCCCAATGGATAAAAGCGTACACATTCAAGTTCAAGGAGGCACGGTTAAATATAATCCGATCCGGATGAAACCTTGCATGTGATGTTTTTATGCAATATGGAACCATAAAATGAACTGCCTTTTTGCTTTTTCAAAAAATCAGAAAATAAGTGTCACCCTACTCCCCATTTGTCGGTCAAGGGACATCGCACCGACGCCTGCACTCCGCATCCATAATCGGAGCTATTAGTTGAAGCAGTGCCAACGTGTCCGCCTCGGGTAATTAATTCAGACATGTACATGGATCCGAGTGACGTATCTATGATCTCACTGGATCTTGGAGCAAACTGCAGGTTAGGACCCATGATCCCACCGTATCCGGCGTGAAAATTTATCCCGGATCTATGATTCGAATGGATCCCGCCATGCTCAACATTGGAACCAGATTTCCGTGTTATTACGGAGCGAGCGAAGCGAGCGTAGTCTTTCCTTAGATTAACGGAAATTTCTGAGTATGAGCGGCCGGCCGGCCGGCCGTGCGGACGCTTTTGCGAGGCTTATATCTCAGCAACCACTTGACCGATTTACACGCGGTAATTTTTATAGGGTAGCTTCATTCCTTCTACCAAGTATTGGACTATTCCCGATGCATGTGGGTGACCCCTTATGCACGTGCCACGTGCAAAACGAAGAGGTGTCAGTTTTGTAATTGTTGCAATATCTCGGTAACTACTTGGCCGATTGGGCTGAAAGTTGGCATGTAGGTAGGCACCCACTAGGCACTGCATATCCATGTGCCAGAGTGGGGGTGCTGCTGCACGTGCGCACGTGCAGGGGTCGTTTCCAGATCTCGAGAACGGCTCGACCGATTGCGCTCAAATTTGGTACACAGTTAGGGACCGGTAAGTAGAGTGCCGAGCAAAAGCCAGTTGGGACCCATTTTGCACGTGCGCACGTGCAGGGTGCCGCTTCCAGATCTCGAGAACGGTTGGGCCGATTGTGCTCAAATTTGGCACATCGCTAGAGACCGGTTAGTAGGGTGCCGTGCACAAGTCAGTTGGCGGTACCCCCTCGCAATTTCGCACGTGCAAGGCCCACCCTCTCGCTCGCTCCGTTAGTCGCCCCAAAAGGCGTTATACTGGTAGATTATACGTACAATACAAAATTATTACGGAGCGAGCGAAGCAAGCGGAGTCTTTCCTTAGATTAACGGAAATTTCTGAGTATGAGCGGCCGGCCGGCCGGCCGTGCGGACGCTTTTGCGAGGCTTATATCTCAGCAACCACTTGACCGATTTACATGCGGTAATTTTTGTAGGGTAGCTTCATTCCTTCTACCAAGTATTGGACTATTCCCGATGCATGTGGGTGACCCCTTATGCACGTGCCACGTGCAAAACGAAGAGGTCAGTTTTGCAATTGTTGCAATATTTCGGTAACTACTTGGCCGATAGCGCTGAAAGTTGGCATGTAGGTAGGCACCCACCAGACACTGTATATCCATGTGCCAGAGTTGGGGTGCTGCTGCACGTGCGCACGTGCAGGGGTCGTTTCCAGATCTCGAGAACGGCTCGACCGATTGCGCTCAAATTTGGTACACAGTTAGGGACCGGTTAGTAGGGTGCCGTGCACAGGGCCTCGTTTCATAAAAGGAATTACTTACGGCGTTCCGTCAATTATGCCAGATTTGGCGTATTTGATGCCAATTCGGTTTCAGAAAGCCGGAGACCGGAGTAATTCACGCCATCGAAATTACGGAGCTTCATTTACGGCAAATGCTTGAATCCGGACCAATTGATGCCATTTGGGTTTCATAAAACGACGTAATTAACGCCAACTATTTTATCAAGTTCTTGATATCAGTGGTGTAAACTACGCACAAAAATGTTGCGTGAATTTGAATTAATGTGAAGATTCGAAGCTAATTCTTAATATATTTTATAATGTTGAGCCCGGTGAGGAAGAAAGAACAGCCAAAATGAGAAAAAGAAGCTGCAAATCTTCCATACCAGTCGCTTTTTGTGGCAACTATCGGAATTTTGTTTATTCGCCGCGCCGCGCCACTTTCGTAGTAAGGCACTTCTGCTTAGCTGGCTTTCTGCTGTTTTCAATATATTGATTTAATAAAGGATGGTCAGCAAAATCGGTTTTGTTTTTTTCATAAATAATTTTTACGATTTAAATTCAACATAATTGTTTTATAATTTCTTGTAAAAAAATAAGTGTTGACATGAAATTGTAATTTGTAGGACGCTTGATAAATTACGGTAACTACGCAAATGTGCTTAGTTACGGAGGTGTAAACAATTCCAGTTGTGGCTTTGTTAAACCGCTTCATTTGCGCTCCGTAGTTTGAAAGGGTGTGAATTACGGAAAGGTGTAAGTTACGGCAGAGTTTTATGAAACGAGGCCCAGGTCAGTTGGGACCCATTTTGCACGTGCGCACGTGCAGGGTGCCGCTTCCATATCTCGAGAACGGCTGGGCCGATTGTGCTCAAATTTGGCACATCGCTAGAGACCAGGGGTGGATTTTTTTGTTTTTTATTGGGGTTGCACAGCTCTGAAAGGGCGCCCAAAGCGGTTCCGAG